TAAACTTTCTAGAACTAGAATCTTTAGATTCTATAAGTTTAAATTACAGAACGAAAAATCTTAGAATATTTTAAACTTCATATATACAGGGTCTCAGATCTATTGTGCCATACACTTGCTAATAACAGATTCTTGAATTTAGAGAAAATTCTAATACCAAAATACTACAATACAGCTTGATACTACAATAGTTACATATTAAATTTTAAAAAAGATGTCATTGATTTTCTCAGCACTTTAAAAAGTGTTTCAATTCGTAAAAAAATCTGAGAAACTTTTTAAAAAGTTATTAAATTGTAAAGAAATTTTGCAAAATTATGTGAAGAATTCTAAGAAAAATTTTTATCATTTGCTTAACTATACTCTGTTGAATAGCTTAAGAAACAGCGAAAATTAAACGATGTGGATGTCACGGTGCTAATGAAATTGCATCAGCTGCAATATTTTGGAGAGTCCCAGATCCCATTTAAAGTACATGATTGCGTAGTGTTTGATAGGAAAAAACTATCTAAATTATACGCGAGAATACAAGAGTTACACGAGGAAACACTTGAATTACACGCTAAACATAAGTATGTATTTACAACAGCTAGAATTCATAACCGATATTAAGAACCTTTATAAATTTTTTGACGGAATATACATGCTCGACGTGCAGATATGCTCGAACGCATCTCCAGAGAATTAAAGTCGATTGCAAACACATGCGTGCCAATAATAAAAATTTGAAAAATGAGATAAAGCTGAAGATAATGAATAAGTTTGGTCAGGATGTATCCTTAAATAAATTATACGAGACGATACTTCGTCGAATAGTATATGATATTAAAGCCGACCTAAGTGAGACAACGACGTATTTCACCAAACGAATCAAACGTATGTGTTAGAACAATATCATAATCTATTTTAATTTCATAGATGTATACATTTCGCATATTTTCATTATAGGTGTCAAAGAGAATTATGCGGAAGAATTAGTCATATTTAACAAGCTGCTCCAGGAACATACTCAAAAGTTGAGCTTTTTGACAGTTTTAGTGGAAGAGCAATCGAAGCTGCAGAAACTATTGAAGCGACGCATTATGTCAGATGTAAATCATGTTTGTATTTTGTTAAATATTTAATCTCACATTTCACCGATATTACCGCTGTTGCAGGAGGAAATGCTGCAATTGGAGGAGAAATATAAAAGTGATATAGTAAAGCTGGAAAATATTCTTGAAAATCAAATGCGGCAGAAGTATCTATTTCAAAATGACATTAAGAATCTTAGATTAAAAACAAAGTCGCAACAGTCCAGTTTAAGGAAATAGTATCCAGTGATAAAGGTACTATCATAATAAAGATATCTTACTTTATGATGCTTTAGTGTCATTAGTCTGCATTAGTTCAATTGTCTTGAAAAGAAAGATGAATGTACATAAATACAGATTTTAAAGTGTAATTTAAAAAAATAAAATAATGTAATTATACATATAATAAATATATAAAATATATTTAAATATTTTGAATTTACAGGAACACCTTGATTTTATTATAGACGAAAATAGATAAAATGGAATTTTAAATGATAACTTTAAAATATTATATCACATTTTGTATGTAAGATTATTCAAGAGATAAAAATAAGAGTTAATTAAATAAAGTCTCGTAGCTAATAGAGTGCATTATTTGAATTCTGCGATTATTTCATAATTTTATAATATTGATAATTATAAAATAAATTGTATAAAGTAATTAATGTATTTATTAATTATTAATTAAATAGACTTGTTCGTTAAGAACACTAATGTTTTTATGTTCGTTGCATTTTATTTATCGCTTATATATAACAATTATATGATAGCTGTACAAATACATAAGTTTTGTTGTTTGCTATATATATAGCAATAATAAATAATAACATATTTACTTAATAAAAAGGTATCGTAATAAGTCTATATTTCTCGTGTATGAAGTATTCCTTAATGCTTTTTTATACTATGTGCAAAGTTTTTTTTTTAATATCTATACATTATGTCGTACATTACGTCATTTTGACTAAGCTATAAAAAGTAAATATAAGATAAAGTGCTTCTTTAGCGAACTTCTTACAGAGGTATATATATATATATATATATATATTTATCTCTCTGCATTAACAATTTCGCTTTATAAATTCTTTTAATATAACTAACAAGAATCTTCGGAATGTTAAGATATATTAAAAGGCAGCTGCATGTGAAATTTCAACTCATGGACTAGAAACACTGATGATGACCATAATTAAATTAGTGGTACACTCGGATCTCGATATAACCCGAAATAATTCAGTAATCGAAGGGTACTGAATTCTATGTATAAAAATGCAGATGCACAATAGAAAATTTAATTAGCGGAGCTGTAACATTATTTTTTGTAATATTATTTTTTTAATTCTACGTTGAGATCTAATTATAAATGAAGTGATAATTATAATAATGATAAAATAATAATCAATAGCAGAATATTAAAGTTAGTGGCGATGGAAATAGTAATAATAGAAATAATAGCAGCAATAGCAGTAAGAAGTAGGAATAGAAATAGCAGTTAGAGTAGGGATATCAATAATATATGTATCAGCACTACTAGAAGCAATGTAATAGCAGAATAGTAATATTAGTGGTAGCAGCAATAATAGCAACAGTATACTCTCTTCGCATTTAAATAATTTTTTAAATTTTCTTTTAAACCCACGCGAAAGAGAGAGAAGCAATAATCTCTAGAACATATCTATTCTTGTTAAAATTGGTATAGATTTAATAGATATTCATAAATTTGTTAAATTCTTTTTTTTTAACAATGTATTTTTTTGGAAAATACAAGAGATTTAAAAAAGAATTTAAAAAAAACTAAAGGATTAGCTCCACTAATTTGAGACAAACTGAAAGAAAAATTATAGGATTTACGAGATCCTAGTGCGTGTACGTAACGATTGCATCAACAAGCATGAATTTTTATGATCATCGATTCACATTGAATCGTAAAATTTTAGAGAGAATATTTAATCATTCTATTTCACATAATAAATTAAACTCATCCAATTGGTAATTCTGAGAGATTGTGAAGCTGCAGATTGCTCAATTATTTACATATCCGATTTCAATAAATTGAACTAGTGATGACCCACAATTCATAAACCGTTAGGCCTATACAAAATCTTGTCCTATTCTTTTTTCGCAGAAAATGCAACTTGGATAATTCTATTATAATTCTGTCGATTGTAAAAATTCTTGATAATTACACATCCTATTCATCGCTTTATTCTATACCAAATGTATTTGTCTCTTCTACAGCCAACAGCAGCTTTTCATATAAAATCTCGGGTGTAGGATAAGGCGGAAGATCCAAGCGGTTAAAGCACGTGTGAGCCCTGAAACAACAATGATAATAGAGTAGAGATTATTGCAGAGAGAAATTTATATAGGAGAAAAAAAAGTTAAAAATATCAAGTATAATACTTAATGCAGTCATTGTTAAATAAAAAAAAGATTAAAGTACCTAGGCAGACTGTTTGGTCTTCCCCACTTTTCGATGCAGAACTTCCTTGGTCCTGTGGATCCACGTAAAGCCGCAAATCCCTCGTACGGAATACTCGAGGTACCGGTCACGAATTGCAGCAATCTTAGACGTTGCTCGTTAGTGAATCTGCTTATGCTGCTCCAGAACCACTCTACTACCGGATGCGCATCGTGATAACCGCTCCTGTATTCGGTGTGTGTTCGCCAATCGTTTAGGTCGATTTCAGCCGCACCCGCGATAACCAGCTCCAACTCGCGAGCATCGAAAACGGACACTAAACGCGGATCCACCACTTCGTAAAAGCCGCGAACCAACGACTCCGTTTGCTCCGCGACGCCGCGCTCAAGGCGCCAACGCACCACTCTCTCGAGATACTCCTTCTTATTCTTTTCAGTAACCGCGATATTTCGCCCACCTGGCTTCAACTCGCGCTCGGCGACTCGTCCCAAGAGTTCCTCCGTTACCGAAAACGTTAATTCCAACGGTTCGATACTTATGTCCTTTTCTTTGATCCACATTAAACTCTGATGAAACTCCTGATCTAGACTCTCCAGGTCGCTCAAACTCGCCGGTATCCTTAAAAGCGCCTTGTAAAACGGTCTCGTGAAGAACGCATCGAGTAGATATTGATGGACCAGCGCTAAGCCCAGTACTCTACCCGAAAATCTGAACCAATCGTGATAGTTATCCACGAAAGCTGACATCGGCGAGATTTGCACTGTATAAGTGTCATTAGCTGAATATTCGAACAATCCGTAATAAGGATTGAACAGTTCGCGTGATAGATGAAAGAAAAATTCTCGGGACGGTCCACCGTAATCCAATCCTTCTTCATGATCGAAGATGACCACTAGCTTACCTTTCTGCAAATCCTTCTTTGACGCAGCCATGATACGCGTAAACGCGTCTTCGAGTAGATGTTCTCTTCTAATATGTAATCTGTACAAATAATATAAAAATTTCTCGATAAATGCAATTCTTGGAATGTGTACACACTAGAATAGAAATGTTCAGGCATCTGAATTTGCAGGGGTATCAGGGCATATTCAAGATGTGCGTTTCTTTCTAAATGCGTTTCATTTCGTATATCATGACACCATTTCTCGAATAATTAATTGTCAGCCACGATGATGAAAGAAACATACGTCTTGAGTATACTCCGATATCCTTGCAAATGCAGATGGCTAGATGCATTTCTGTCCGCATGTGTACTTACGAATATAACGTATATACGTAGCGATGAAGCGTACTTTAATTTACCCGGCCCTTGCCCGTAACCTTTGCTTTCCAGCTTTCGATAAAAAGTTCGAAGTTTAGCTTCAAAATCTCTCCTGTACGGTGCAGGAGCTCTGGCAGAAGCCCTTGTCAGCCCAGGCGACGCATGTGGGCTACCAAGCGGAGATCTACCCATAGTACCAGGTACATAGGACATTATTTCTTGCTCGAATAAACTGCAACAATATGATATCATTATTCATATCTTAAAATTGCCGTGTTACCTGCGTTGAAGCCTCTTTTCCCCAATGTTTAAAAATTCATATCTTCCAGAAAAATAAAGATATAAATTTCTTTCTGGGCTCATCTTAAAGATGAATTATGTGGCTATTTTTAAAAAAATCGTAATTTTATTTAAAAATGGCCGATTTAAAATGGCCAATTAAAACGTCATTTTTTTGAAAATTGTTAAAATTTGTTTAATTAAAATGTAATTTGGTATAAATGTATGGAATTTAATACGCACCGCGCGCAAAGCGTCATTTTTTTTGAAAATGAATTTTTTATCAAAAATTGTTAAAATTTGTTTAATTAAAATGTAAATTGGTATAAATGTTATTGGAAGATGTATGGAATTCAATACGCAGCGCGAAGCGCACGCTTGTTATGTATTAGTTGTATATAAATTACATATGTTATGTAATACCAATTAAAGACATACATATTGGAACACATTTCCTTACCTTAGCAATAATGCTAAAGGAACGTCGTGGCCCCATCTCTGTAATGCTGTAGTCCCTTCGACCCTTATAGTATTAACTTTCTCTCGAAGCGCGATGTTTTGTCCCAGCGCAGAATGTCTCTCCTTTAGAATATCTATTATATTAGGCTGACGTAGAAAAGCAACCACTTTGTCGTTGTAGGCCACAGGTATATCGGGAGTAGCGGTTACGGACGCTTGTTGCGGCCTGGGCGGTGGTACGGGAGCTTCATCCAGTAATGTTCGTAAATGTGCAGCTTCCGTAGGTAATCGTGGATCGATAAAAGACGTGGCCTTTCTAGCGTGACATATGAAAAATCTCTGAAAATCAACAACACTTGACAATCAATATCACGCGGTGCCACACACAGCGCGCCTCTCTTTCTCTCTCTCCTCCTGCGAATCAAAAACTCACTTACTTTGCCCGTCCTGTCAAGCTTAGATTCGTACCCTCTTGGAAGTTCCTTGCTCGGATCGGCAAAGACGTTAATTAAGGCAACTAGATCTCTATTATGCTCGTATCTCGGAAACACTATCGGATCCCTTCTAACTCTATTGATCATGTGCTTCAAACTTGGATTACGATTGTACACCTCCATGGCGTCCGCGTTGGTGTGCAGCACGGTAAAGAAGTCGGGCCGTGTTAGGAATAACACCGGTGGTATCGTAGTGATATCGAATGGCCCTTCAGATTCGGCCCTATCAGTACGATCATTCCGCTCGGTACTGTCAAAGGGATTGCCGTTTGGTCCGTTAGCCTCGCGATCTATGTTGTCCGGACGAGAGATGGTTCGTCGTACGCTCTGGTAACGTCTGTCCAATTGTTGCCTTCGTAGATCGCAACCAGTATTGCGTGTCGTCAAGTTTGGCCTTTGCCACGTTGTAGTTCGATTGATGTGATCAATGTAAAATACTCGGCCGTGGCTGTCTATTCTCGCTTCCCACGCTGAAATACACATGACGGTTAATCAATTAACGCCGAGAGAAAACCCACAGAAAACATAAGTATGAGCATGTAATCGGTATTATACATTTACTTACACGGAGGTAGAGGTTCTTCCGAGGATAAAGAGACGTTTGACGTTTGGCATACGGGCAATGGACACAAGGGTTTGGGTCGATGCGTTGGTGTGGGCGGGCACTCCATCTGATTAGCCATCGACGACTCTGGCCTCTCTCGTTGCCTGTGCGATCTTGGTGAACTTAATAGAGCGATACTTTTTGTAACTGCTGTCCTCAACTGAAAACGTTAAATACATCCACATGCAATCTAGATGCAACAGCACTGGAATGCAATAAATAATAATAGAGTTTAACAATCTCAACCTTGAGGTTTGAGGCTTCGTCGACGTCTACAATCTCAAATCCAAAACAATCCTCAGGGTGCAACGGCGCGGGATGCCTTTGATGTCGTTTAGGTAATTCCGGTGCGCCGCTTGGTAAAGCGTTACTTCTGTGTAACGGTCGATGCGCCGCTCTTGGTGGAAGCGGCGGTGGCATTGGATAGAGAGTTTCATATAAAGATTCGGGAGATGAGTGACCGCCTGTGCTGCGCCACAGCTGATAATATTCCGCTCCTTCTTTCGTTACAATCCCGTTGGGTCTGCACTGTCTCTGAAATAAAAGTTTTGTCTTTATTTTATTATAGAAAGAAAAAGATATTAAAGGATATCAAAGATAAGCGTAAAATATAAAATAAAGCAAAAGAGATATTCGTCGTAAAAAGTATCAAGATGTCAAAAAAACCGGCAAGTTAAACCGTTTTGTAAAGATCAAGAGAAATATTTGCGATTTACAAATAATGGCTCCACTTCAAAGATATATGTTAGCTTATTAGATGAAATTTCTCTTATTACATAATGATCCTTTGAGCGTTACAAATAAACGGCTGCTCGTGTTTATTTTTTACAAGGCAAAATACTGAGTAAATAATCAATAATACAAAAAAACTTAATATTGTCGTCAAATTTTAGCAATTTACCTACACTATACTGGATACTTATTCTCTCTGTGTCAATAAAATCTGTCAAATTTTTCTTAAAAAGAGAAAAAATATATAAATTTATTTACCTTTTTACTATCATTATTACTTGTACTCGCATGCTGCGACTCTATATCCGAATTACTCTCCTCGCTGCTATTCGACGAACGAGGCTCCAAATCTAGGCAACGAACTCCTTCTAATTGATTTTGTCTGGTAAATGACGAATCCAAAAGCGCTACCGCGTTCTCCTCGATCTCCGATTGCTGAACACTGGCAGTTTTAGGCATCTTCTCTAAGATTGGCAGTTTAAACGGTTTACTCGTGCTCGCGGAATCATTGTAGCACGGAGAAGCGTATCCCGCGTCTTGCGACGTTGACATCTCCTTACAAACGTGTTCCGACGAGCCGGGCAATTCATCTCCGTCAATCGCGTTTTCGAGAGCATTCTTATTATTATTGTCTGAGGTATTCAAAGATATTTTCACGTCGTTAATCACGTTGTTACAACTAGCTGAAGTTGCGCTTTGCGAATTCGACGACTCTTTGGATGTGTCTAAAGACAGAGACGTTAATCCGTCCGCCGATAAGTCACTATCGTGATCTACGTTGCAATCTTTATCGTCATTGCCAGACGTTTTTAATAGTATATTCACAATGTCACTGCCGTGGTTCGCGGCAGGGCCGTCTTTCAAGAACTGTTTGCACGAATGGAAGGGTATCGTCCGGTCAATCGACTTGTGCCTAGCATCCGGCGCAACGTCAATATTATTATTACACAAATTCCTCGCGCTCGATTCGTAATCGCATTCATCGATACTATCACTCTTCTCGGATCCGTAAGCCTTCCCCTCATCCGGGACATTGTTGGGGCTGGCCGCCAATTCCGAGGCGTTAAGATGAATTTCAGAAATGCTCTCCGCTAACAAACCTTTCTTTCTGGACAGATTTCTATGAGCAAGAAAAATTGATTTTTTACTCGAATTTTGTACCATATCGTTGCATGTAGTACCTGCGTCGTCGTCACTTTCTTCGGCTTGTTTAACTAGTACCGATATATCTGAAATTTTCAAGAATCACACGTCTTTGCTCCATTTCATAATTAAATCTAAATAATTAAATAAGAACTTTGCAACATTCTCTTGTATCTTGTATCACAAAATGTGTGAGGAGAAATGTATGAAAGTATTTGTAAGTTCAACGCCGACGTTACCTGTCTTATCTTGGGGATACAAATTCTCAGCTTCGAGCAAATTATTTGCCGTTACGGAGCCACTGTTACTCGTCGTCGACACTGCGTCCTCGGTCGAGTTCAAGAACTTGGCTCTGACGTCCGACGTGGATACCCTGTCGCCGTTGGCATTCGCCAAGCGGGTGTCCATGTGCTTCGCGGACACGTCCGAGTCTTGATTCGCGGAATTCAGGGTCATCAGTGCGACGGACCGCTCATTCGATCTCTCGGTGTCCTCCTCTTCCCTGGAAACGCTGCCCCCGGCAGTTTCCTCCGTTTCGGATGGCATTTTCTCTCTTCAAAACATACTCGCGATCGAGAGTCCCATTGAAGGTCCTGCAAGGACGAGGAAACGATTCTTAAGGGGAATTTCAATTGACAAGGAGAAGTGGCGATTGTTGCGGGATTGCGTAATATTTTTGTAACGTGTAAAATTCCAAAGGAACGCAAGGAAACGACGGGCGATCGAGTGATAGCGAAATAACACGGAAACAGGTTAAAGCTCGTCGCAGCGCGCGACGGTGTCAATTAATCACACGGGAATCACCGGGTGCGAGAGGAGGACTGTACGGATACGAGAGGTGTTTACCTGATGCGAATAGAAGTATCGTCGACGATTAATTTATCGTGGAAATTAACGGGGCCCCTCCTCCCCCCCTCCCCCCACCCCTCAGCACACGTAGTACATTCCGCTCCGCGCGTACATACATACGCGCGAGAGGCGAGGGATGAACGCAGCGCGGACGAGAGACGGATGCGCTTACGCGCTACGCGAAGGCCGTTCGTACGCCACGATATCGCATGCTCGACACGTATAACGTATAACGAGGTACACTCCGAACGGGGGGGACCGTGTCCCTCGTTCCTTTCCACGTAGCGTCCGCCGCCTTTATTTATGCGTGACTTTACTCTCATCAATTACCCACGTACACGCGTGAATGGGTATTTGACAGCGCGGACGTAGCAGACTATACGGTTAGGGGGGTGGGGAGGGGCTAGTGACTTTGCCTTTCCCCACGTGATGACGCGTGTCGGGTGTCGGTCAGTCGGTGTGATCCGAAAATCGGAAAGGAGCAATTTGTAAATTACGTATGTATGTGTATCGTTGCGCGACGGGAGAGATTGTTTTTTTTTTTATTGTCCCTTGCATGCAAAATGTTCTTATTTCCAAGGAGTGAAAAAATTATATCTACTGTCCTGGTAAAGAAAAAAGTTAAGCCTACAATATCTTAATCAGTTGTTTCTTTCATATTTTAAATTTTATGAAGATTTCTGAAAAAAAAAAAAAAAATCTCTTGCACGTTACTCCCACAGATTTATTTATAAAACTTTTCCTCGACGTCTTAGGCCGGGAGCACATGAAGTGGACAAGAAAGTAATGCTGGCTGCTCATTGGTCTAGCCGCCTTATGCCGTGCTCATGGCCTTCTGCGCTCCAGGCCTAATTATGGTTATGCCTATATATGGGCAAAAAATAAACGGATGCTTGCACATGCGTGCGATAGCCCGACAGGTGGAGACGATTCATTCCCACCCTCTCTTCAGATGTGATCTTCCTCGCTCGTGAAAGAGCGAGAGATTCATTTGATGAAACGGCATTTTCACAAATCCTCTATATATGTACCTCAATATTAATATTATTCATGTCCACCTTTATCAATTTCACTATCAGTCTCATTATCATTTTTGCTAATTCATTTGATTTAAAGTGCGATTAAAAAAATTTGCAAGTACATACCAAGAGTTTATATTTGAATTTCGTTCATTTCTACCAATGTAGATTAATCTACTTGCTTACTATGTTGTTCTAATTCTTAAAACTGGAAAAAGATAAAAAAAGTAAATTTAACCGTGATATCTTCTTTCTTGATAGAAATGGACATTAAACTTCCTTCTCTTCTATTTTTCACTCACTCGCTCTCTTTTATTATTTACCGCGTGTAATCTTTATACAAATATAATGATCGATTTTTGTTTTTTTACTAAGCTGATATCTGAATCTGGAAAAACTTGTTGCATTTTTATATTGTTTTTTAAATAATTTTCTTGCAATGATTAGACAATGTCATCTAATATTGTCTTTGAAATTGAATATTTTTATAGATAATAAGAGAGAGCCAGTGTCTTACACAATGAAAACAAGGCGAGAGTACAATGAATCAAATTCGTTTATTTAAATTTCATTTAACCTCAATAGAACGCCGCATATGACTAATGATACGACAGTATGATTTGTAAAAACAGAATGTATTAAAAAACTCGATTCCTCAATGTATAACTCACTAAATCTTCAGATAGGAAGATTTCTCGTAATATTTTTTTTTCTTTTTTTTTCCCTCATGATTGCTAAAAGCTAAACTCGACAACACAAAAATCGAGATAGGATGGAGTACCTAAATAAGTGCTAAACGGTACGGTTGCGATCATTTTAATTTACAAGTATCCACTGTATGGCTCATAATAATAGTAATAATAATGATATTATTTTACAACTTCGCTCTCATTGATCGTCAGATAAAAACACGCGCCTTTCACGTACACATCATCTTCGGAGCCTGCTTGCGACGATACTATTTTATGCAAATAATTCACAAAATATCTCAAATCCGATCGCTCCCTTGCATTCTTCCTTCCCCCCCCCCCCCAACCCTCCCTGACCCTTTCCCTGCTAAGTATAATATCGACGTATTACACTTTAAAGCTCTACACTGATTTAAACATACATACGACAATCATTTATATGATTCATTGCAATAAGAATTATCCTTTTACATCGGTCAAACCCAAATAGTACCTTATACACAAATCTTATCTCACGCAAATCACCACAAGAGATTTTCCTACCCACTCACGCCCGGATAAAGTACACTAATTCATCAAGTATTCACTGAAATCCTTATTATACGTATAATGATCAAATAAATGCATTAATCATCTAACAAGTTAAATAGGTCGCTGCTTTATATATATTTATATAATTTTTTTTTTACATGGTTTTGAATTATTCGGGAATTGTTAGATATACTATATATATATATCTCTCTTCATCTCTAGTAAGTGTTTTATCACCCGCGCGCGCGCGCGCGCGTGTCGATCACTGTAAATGTTCCATCATTTATTACCTTTCGGAAAAAAAGAAATCAGTTTTATTGGCATTGCTGAATAATCAATGTATCCTCGGCTATACGAATGAATATATCGTTTTTTTTTTACTGAATAAAAAGTATGGAACAAGAAAATTTTTTTTCTTTTGTATTATTTATATTATAACAAATTCGTGTATCAATACATTAATATAAGCTATCACAAGTAAGCTTACATACATACATACATATCCATATTCATTCGACAAGAAATTTAAGTGGCCAATAGTGAGCACAAAACAATTCCGTGGACTATAGCGTTTCTCTTAACTCTCGCATATGGAAATGCTAAAACGGAACTTAATATAGTAGTATTATAGGTTTCGTGGAAAATTTTATACAGAGAGAATTCATCGTGTATGAAATATATATTGATTCATTTGAGGGGTAATTCTGAAGACTGGTAATGTTTCTTTTGCTATATCCATCATTTCTTTGTATAATTCTGATTAACTGGGAATTAAATCTGCGAAAATTTTTATCCTATAGATATCGTTATCCTTAAGACAATCGATTTTCTCTGAGAAGCAATTCTTTTATTTCATTACATGAAATAGCATCGCTAGCAGGCAATTGTCCCATTATCCACAACGGAAACTCGAATTTTTCATTATTTATTTTTTTTTTAGAATCCTATAACAAACAAACAGTTCACACCACGTTTCGGGCTTACCTCTTTAACAAGGGTGTAGTTTCTTTTTGCAGACTCGGTTTCAGTAAGTAATTAATATTTGTCTATTTTTGATGGTGATGATAGTGATGTCGTAGGGATAATTACAGCTCAAAGGATACAATAATTACTTTAACAGAGTGTTTTTCATTCAGATGTGCAGAAAACGATATACAAGGACTACGATTAATTCAGTCCTGCATCTCTTCTGGTATATCGTGAGGATTAATAATGCCTGGTACTGCCATTTGCTGCCGCCTTTTCTCTTCTTGGGCTAGCCGTAAAGCTGTTTCTCGTTCCTCCAAATAAAGCTCAGAATCATCCTCACCCGTATATTCCTATAAAAATATACAAGAAAACTTGTTAGGTTAGGTTAAAACTTATTTTAAAACTTAAAAGAAATAATTTCTAAATCTAATAGCTGCTATTTTTTGGCCTCATCAAATAACTTACAAAATACAATACTGCTTCATATAAATTCATGTAAATTTCAGAAAAATTGTACAGGCACAAATGTTGAATATTACTTACTTTGATTTGCACGAGAAAATCTCTAAGGTGTTCCTTGAACATGTTGATATCTTGATTAAGATGGAACAAACCTTGCACAGTTATTTTAATCTGATTATCGGTTAAATGCGGAAAAGCTGCTTTAAGCAATCTTGCAACAAATTCTTGTATATATAAAGTATTATCAGGTACAGGGCCGAGCGGCACCTGAATTTTCCCACGTTCAATCAATGTAAACATATAAGCGAGAATAGTCGCGTGCATAGTCAGGCCTGTAATCATCAATTAAATATATAAAAGCTGTATATATGTATAATTAATGACAATTTGTGTGTGTGTGTGTGTGTACGCAACTATATTATTCCTTTACCTGCAGTGTGTGATGTGTCCGTAACAACGCTGAATACATGTTGTAGAATATCCGTAAAATATGTTTGATAAAAACTTTGACCCGCCTGCTCATGCTGCTCAATATTTAATAGAAGTTGATAAAGAATTTGTAATCCTGTATCAGCTACATTCCTCATTGTGTGTTTAAAAGCCCAAATAATCGAGTCAAGAACCAGCTTAAACTGAGCCGGTGGAATTGAAAGAAATGCAGGGAAACAATGAATATTCACCGCCTGGATTGAACAATAGGGTAATATTTAAGTAAAATAAAAGGAATCTTTAATCTTATAAAAACAAGCAAATGGATATATTTTCACTTACTTGTAGGAGAAGGAAAAAGTTTGTTCTATGTTCCGGAAATTCTTCAAAGTCTTTGTTAATCATTTCTAAAGTACACTCAAATACTGCATCAAATATTTTGGGCACCTCGCTAGTGATATGGGCTTCCAATTTGTTTACTATGGTGGCCATAGCACTAAGCACTTCGGGCTCTCTAGCACAATGAACATTCGTCTTTTGATAGTCCAGTAAAACTGCGTCCAGTAACGGCGGTATAAAGTTTTCCAATACCTGTCAAAGAAATCTCCGTATGTATGTTTTGTACGAATAAAATAAATTATTGAGGAAAGACAGTGGAAAAAAATATAGTATATAGGAGTTCATGAACAAGAAAACTTACCATTTGATGATCATTCGTCCTGTTTACCCAATCCGATATTAATTTCAATGTTTCCTTTTTCACTACCCTCATACTCTTAATTAAAGGTTGTTTCATTACTATCTCACCATTTACAGCTATCGCAGCACTTATATTTTCACTCATAACCTGAAACAAATGTAAAAGCTTGCGTTAGGTATATCAATTATTACCTTGAAAATTTTTACATATGAATAGAGAAATGTACCTTATAAACATTCAACATATCTAAGTATATTTTCCCTAACTGTATCACGTACGGATGCCCAAGAGCTTTACAAGCGCTAACATTTGTTTTTAAGATGCTGGCGAGTTGTTTAACGGCATCTTGGTCCTTCAAGACATCTACGTTCTGTTGAAAGATATTTATGTTACAGTAAAATTACAATTCCACATACAGGTAGATATAAAGTATCTGTTTGTTTTTTTTATGAATAATTTTAATTTTAAGATGATAATACGATATACCTTAGATGCTTGACTTATAATGTCATCCCAAACTTGATTAGGGAGAAGCATGTATTTCTCAATTAATTGTTCCTGCGCTACAGTATCGGCTTGAGCACTTATCATATAGCCAACTGCTTCGTAGAATGTATGTACCTATTATATAATTGTTATTGTATTAGATTGTATAATACTGAACATTACATAATTAAATGTACAAAATAAATCTAATAAGATATATTTAAAATAAATATCTTACTTGCTGTGTTTGAAGATCGCATATGATTGTGCTAATTGTAGAAAGAATTTCATCAATAAACGGCATTGCTTCCCCCATTTGTACAGTAACAAAATGTCGTCTGCATTTGAGTGCTATTTTAATAAAAGTATCGCAGGCCATATCTTGCACTCCATCGTGCGTTTCTGAAACACGAATAAAGATCGATTCACTTATGTTTACGTCCAAAAAAAAAAAAAAATTGCATTATGAAACAGAAAGTTTCCATAATAAGAATATTTACTTACCATGCATAAACTCAAAAAGTTTATTTACAACAGTCTTTAAAAATTTCCAATGGGCTCGGAGAAACCGTGGATACTGGCCAACAACGTACATGATATTGCTGGCGATTATAGCTTTATTATCTTTTCCTTTTTTCTGTTCGCAAAGACCAAGTAAATCCTTGATTACGGTCACTAAAAAACGTTTTTCGTCCTCTTCATGCATAGCACCCGAAATACTGCCTATTGCCCAGCACAACTAAGAAAAGAGGTAAAAGATATAATACCATCGTTATCTCGTCCAACATTCTATTATTTATATATGTAAATAAAATGTATATCTTAAAGAAGACAGTTACCGTATTGAGATTCTTCCAAGACCATTCTGTGCCGTTAACTTGATTTTGCAGCTTCTCTGTCATTACTTTCTCCGTATCCAAGTAATCGAGATGAGTAAGATATACAAGAGTTTCTCTCATGTTCTTATAAAGATTAATAGCATCAGTATCTTTCATGAATTCTCTGACAACCTCGCCGTTTTCATTTTCAACAACAAGCACTTCTTCCGGCTTTGCCATTCTGCTAATCATAATGTATCGTACTTTTGTCAAAACCTGACCGTAAAATAATCTTCGCGGTGGAACCGTCATGTTCTTAGACATGAAAAGCGGCGACGAGGTCACGAAAGGATTCTCTTTGTACAAGTCAGCTGCTAATCCGTTCCAGTATTCTAAACAGATTTTAAAGATTTCAACCTCGTCGACCTCAGAGATAAGAACGAGGTAATGTAATGCCTTTACTAGTGTCTCATTCAATTGCTTCTTCTCTATTAGCTCGCCATGCTCTTTTAGATAAGTGCAAAGAAACATGGCTAGGTTCTGAATAAAATTTTGTTCTTGGTCTTGGCCAGCCGCGAATGCTTCACGTATGTTAGTTTCCAGTGGGAGCATTAGCTCCAACTGCTGCATCGTGTTGATAAATAATATAACGAACATGTCATCATAACTCGTTACAGTGGCGGTGGTGACTCCGGCGATTTCAGTTAGACACTTTAGAGTAACGTTCCGAAATATTGGTACGTTCAAAAACTGTAAATTGGAAATGAAGATTATTTGTAAGCAACGCACAAACGATTCATATTCAAAGTGAAAAGCAGGCGGAAGAGATATTATAGTACACATGATGAGACACGATACCTTGAATATTAAAGTAGTTATCAATTTGGTTTCAAAAATATAACCAAGTGGAATCCAGTTTAAAAACTTTAGTAGCGTCTCTAACGTGACTGCTACTAACGGGACATTTTGTGAATTATCCATCACAAATTGGCAAAGCTGGAATATCTGTGAAAATTCACTGCACATCGTATCCTTTAAGTGCTTTGCTTTTGTCTGAGTAAGCTGACCACTTGAAAAGTCAAACACTTCCTCCGACAAAAGTTTTAGGATAGCCATGTTGTTCTGACAGAGACTCTCGTTAGTTTTACTCGCGCCAACAATGTCACTGATAAAGGACTCCCAATTTTTTGGCCACTCACGTTTCAGTACCTGATAGAGAGATAACATTGTTAACATATATCATCAAAAACTATATCTCGAAGACTTTCAGAAGAATAATTTTTTACTCACTTGTACAAGAATCATGTTAAGTTTGTTAAGATAAACTTTGGAAGCTTCCATCGTCTCTGGATCACTGCTTGTCTTTATGATAAGGCCTACGATGTATTTTTTAATACCTTCGCACTGATTTCTCGGTAATACTTTCCATCGTGTCTTTATAACTTGTTCCAATATTTGCAAACCATAATATTTCGTTTGTTGATTCTGAAGTAACAACATAATTATTTGCAGATTATATGTATATGTGTCGCGATCACAGATGAGATACAACTTTGTCGAAATTTACCTGTGAATATTCTAGAATGGTATCTACCCGTGTCCAAGCATTCGGATGTTCTTTAAGAGTCGTTAACACCTCTTGGGCGACTCTCTGTTGCTCACCTATGCCAGTATACATACATCCTACTATATTGTCGAGAAGCGTTATATCCAATTTCTGATTGAAATCCAATAATTTAGATGCTTGCTCAGCCAAAGTTGCCATTGTGTATCTTAACTTTATGTCCTTTCGTACGTTTTACCTTTTAAATAGAAGAAACACGTGAAAATATCTTGTGTCTTTAGTAATAAAAGGTGTATCGGATAGCATGTGATTAGGCATAATGATGTATATAATTCCAACTTTTGTAAATGTAACAGCAAATTCGATTGGACGATTAATGTGCACTGTTACACACTACCAATACACAAATCAATGTAAAGCAGATATGTTTAATATATAAACTGCAAAATTCTCAATACTTTATTATATTATTAGATAAAATATTGTATTGGCATTTTTTGTCTTTCAAGATTTTTATACTCAGATTAAATCACAATAGCTTTAATATATCATTGCACACATCAGTGCACACTAATGCATCCAACTGAATTTGCTATAAGATCATCATTTGGAGTTATAAATGTGATGCAAGATAGACAAGACATTGAGGGATTTGGGGGTGCAGTTAATTTGATGCTACAAACATTTCGAAGCATTCGATTGCTCAATCGGAAGACAGAATTTTACAAATTAGTCAATCAAAGAATGCTTCGAAGCACTTATCAGCATCAAGCGAACTGTAGCCATAAGAGACATTCCGTTTCATGCACGATGCACACACAATGTATCATTTTGTTGTTCGTTGAATAATAAACAAGGACAAAATGATACATCATGCGGATCGTGTGTGAAACGGAACGCATCTGTAATCGATGCCACCAAATTCCTAAACAAATGGACAACAGACTTCCAATATACGCGAGTCTTAATTCAGATATCAAGATTGTTCTCAATTAGAAGTCCATCGGCGGGGGAGCCTCGACGGACCGGGGACGGCGGACGCATCGAGCAGCGATACTCGGGGAGAAAATAGGACGCCGTTAGTTAGGAACTACGTCGCACGTGTTCGCGCACCGCGTTCGAGGATCGAGGATGGGAGGGATCCATTCGGAGGACGCAGGCGGACGCGGCAGGAACGCGCGCGTGAACGCGCGCGGGTGGATCTCGCGGGACGAGAGCGAGAGGACGGATCGTTCCTCCTCGCGGCCGACGTGCCCGCGCGCGAAGGGGTCGCCAATCCGCCGCCACCGCCGCCGCTGCCGCCGCCGCCGCGGATCTAACCTACATTTGACAAACGCAAAAGCAAGGTTATGTGAATCGGGCCGCGGGCGCAAATTGTCACGCGGACGGACGGGCGACGCGCGAGAACGCACGGGGTACGGACGTGGACGACGCGGAGGACGCGCGTCCTCGGCGTCCCCGCGGGCCGCGAGGATCGGGCCGCCCCTTTGCGTTTGGTTGCGTCGTCGGAGGCCCCCCCAATCGACGGGAGAAGAACGCGGGGAAGGTGCCGCGGGAAAACGACGCGTCGGACTTACCGTGCTCACTCTCATACACGTACTCACGCTCCGTTTTCCGGAAATTAAAAAAAGCACACGTTCCGCGCCGACGGGCCGGGCCACCTCGGCGCGAATCACAAGCATAAAAGGGTCAAACACACAACCGCTGATTCCCGCGCACGACCACCAACTTTCGTACCTCGTTTCACACACTCGTCATTCCTCACCAGTGTCTCGCACTCTCTCCCTCGCTCGCGCGCGCGTACTCTTTCTCTCTCTCTCTCTCACGGTCGCTCTCTCTTTCTCACTCTCTCGCTCTCCCACCTCTGTCCCTCGCGCACGTACACCCTCGTCCCTCTCGCTCACTCTCCGCCTCCTACCGCTACTACTATTGCGACGGTCGCTAGCGAGACGAGATCGCGACTCCGCGGAGAGGGCTCGCATGATACCCACCGCCGAGACCGCCGTTCCTCGTCGCAACCCCGCGCTCCTAACCTCATGCGAGCCGCGTCTTTCTCACGACAGGAACACGGCACCCCGTAGGCTCGTTCGCACGTACTGCGTCTTCCCGAAAATCCAACCTCAAGATTTTCGAAAATAATAACAAAATGGCCGGAGGAAGTTTACGCGGCCATTGCGGACAGACCGCGGCGGCGATTGGCCGGGCTCCCCGCGCTCGGCCAATCGCCGCGCGGCTATTTCCCGTGACGCCACCGGACGGAGCGTCGTTTACGTCACGCAAGCACGTGCGCTTCGCTTTTGCGACCTGGCGATTCGTTCTCGTTCCGAGGAATTGCGAGATTTTGTGAAATTATTAATATATACGCGATACGCGCGCAAATAATTCGAATAAACGCGTGGGACGCTCGTGGATTGTAATTAACGAACGAGGAGAAATGTGCACACGTCCAATAATCCTCACTAGGAGTAATTTAAATTCTCGCGAATTCATTTTAACCGTTGCGAAGGGACAATGAAATCCGATATTCCTCGAGCAACTTCCGGTGAATTAATAAGATTTTCTTACTCTCGAACAAAAGATATATAACGTTTCCGAGATGCGCAAGTTGAAACTACAGGCAACGAAAGAGAGAACAAAAGGCCTGTTCTACAATACGTAAGTCGTAAGAATTGACCAATCAAAATATCCCATTTTATTACGTAATTTGCCGAGGGATTTCATACAAAGGAAAATTCTTTTATCTCTAATCGAGTAACTTAATCAATGCGTCGCGCGGCAAATGATGCAATAAAATGGAATATTTTGGTTGATTAATTCATGACGCGATGAATGAACGCGACGCGTGACGCGCTCAGTGGGAACGCACCTTAATCGATTACGATTGGACAATTTCTACGTCCCGAAACACAGTAGATACATTTCCGAACGCAGTCTTGGCAGTTGGCAGTAGTAATAATAAGTTGGCAATGCTGGGCAATGCTTGGCACGGTTGATGTATACCTTCTTTCCAATAACGTCATCCAAACTACGTGTCGTGGTATGTCGGACACGTGATATCGGATGGATTTTAATTCAATTTTTCTGAAGTGTTTTCTGAAGAATTTTCGAAGTTTTCCTTAGCTTAATTTTCAAAAGACTGCGTTGAAAAGGTAAACCAAATCAGTCGTGAATTAATAACAGCGATTGATGTTTTTTTTTTACTGTAATTGGTTTCCTAAATATTTTGGGAGAGCGCATCCTGGTGCACTCTCGGATTATTAAGACAAATGTGTTTTGATTAATCTTATGAGCCGCGAAAAAAAATGTAATTTTCCAATTTTTTTAATTTTCACCAAAGAAGCAACGTTTTGGATTTTCTCCAGGAATTAGAAATGGCAAAGAGGACACAACCAGGTTGGCAGCTGCCAGATAGGAAGGACGCCACGGTGCTGCGATTATACAACAGTTTGACCAGAGAAAAGGAGATATTTGTCCCACAGTTTGGAAATCGCGTTCTGTGGTACAGTTGTGGACCTACTGTTTATGATGCATCGCACATGGGCCATGCAAGGTATATCTGAATACAATCTTTAACGAGCATCTATCTCATTTGACACAACAGAGATTTCATGGAACAATTTTACTTCGCATATTTTTTGATATTTTATTTTATGGTTAAACGTATGTATGTCTTTCTGGACGTATAAATGAAGATATTTATGATTCTTTTTTTTTTTTTGCAGAGCATATATATCTTTGGATATTCTGCGTCGTGTACTGTCAGACTATTTTGGCTATGATGTCTTATATGTGATGAACATTACTGATATAGATGATAAGATTATAAAAAGAGCAAGGCAAAATTATTTGTATGAAAAATACCTGGAAGAAAATCATGGCCTTAATAATGTACTAGATGACGCTAAAGAAATAATGTCTAAATTTGAAGATGTTGTACGAACTACAAGTAGTGCTGATAAGAAGTGCATGTTGGAAAAAATGCTGTATAAAATAACGGCAGCCATTGAAGATCTGCAGAAGGCAGTGAAAGAGAAGGATGAAAAGAAGATTGCAGAATTTCAAGAAGTAAGTGTTGCATGAGATATATGTGTGTGTGTGTGTGTGTGTGTGTGTGTGTGTGTATATGTATGGTTGTGTTTGCTTTGGCGTTTACAGCGCTCACATCATTTTATCCTTGTTGTTTACCAAATGTTAAACAAGGACAAATGATGGTTATAAGCGCTGTAAGCTTCAAATCGAACGCAGCCTATATATATATATATATATATATGATAAAGAATTAAATTCTCTTAAATTATTGTATGTAAAGTATGAATAATTTTTATGTACATAGGCATTATTGAGAGAGGCTAGAGATCCTTTAGCCAATTGGTTAGACGAGATAAAAGGTAGCACTATCACGGAACACTCCATATTTAATAAATTATCGCAACATTGGGAAGCTGAATTTCATAAAGATATGGATGCTTTAAACGTAAGATTTGAATATTTTTATTGTTTTTCAGCCAAGCTTGGTTTTCTGTAACCATTACTGTCGCAACTCTTTTAGATATTGAAACCAAACGTGCTCACAAGAGTTAGCGAATATATACCCGAGATAATAACATTTGTACAACGAATAATAGACAACGGACTTGCTTACGAAAGTAATGGATCGGTATATTTTGACGTGGGCAAGTTTGATAAACAAGAGAAACATTCTTACGCTAAGCTTGTACCCGAAGCGTACGGCGATACGTCAAGCTTAGAAGAGGGAGAAGGTAAGTTTGTGTTATTACTTGTCACACTTGATTCTTTAAAATTTATTTTTTAAAATTAAATTAACTGATTTATTTATTATTTTATCAAGGCGATTTGAGCACTACTGCAGATAAGCTCTCTGAGAAGAGATCGGTGACGGACTTTGCGCTCTGGAAAAGTTCAAAGGCAGGTGAGCCCTGGTGGAATAGTCCTTGGGGCAAAGGACGTCCAGGATGGCATATTGAATGCTCGGTTATGGCGTCTGCAATTTGCGGAGAGAGCTTGGACATCCATACAGGCGGGGTAGATCTGAAATTTCCCCATCACGATAACGAACTCGCGCAAGCGGAAGCGTATTTCGACAATTCACATTGGGTCAGGTATTTCTTGCACTCCGGCCACTTGACCATAGCTGGCTGCAAGATGTCGAAGTCGCTGAAGAACTTTGTAACGATACAAGATGCTTTAAAGAAATATTCGAGCAGGCAGCTCAGATTTGCCTTTCTTCTGCATTCATGGAAAGATACGTTAGATTACAGTGACAATACTATGAATATGGCTATACAATATGAAAAATTTCTTAACGTGAGTACAACATTTTCGTATACATGTCATAAAATATATATTTTGGCACGACATTATTATTATTATTATTATACGGTGGGCTTAAAAATATATATATTTAAAATCTTTATAGTATATATTTTTAGGTTTATATATAGAAAATAAAATTACTTTTATTTTTCCAGGAATTCTTTTTAAATGTAAAATGTAGAATTAGAAGTTTGGGAACGTCTACTACTATCAACAGTTTTATTAAGTGGTCTTACTCCGAAATAGAACTCGATAAAAAATTTCATCTTGCAAAGCATTCTATACATAAAGCATTATGCGGTAAGTCTTGATTGTTTTTTAATTAGTGATAGATCTAGATGTGTATTGCTAAAAAGATGTATTTATTGCAGACAATATCGATACGAGGACTGTTCTCGATTTAATACGAGAGCTCGTGGCAAATTGCAACGTGTACATGAGTCAAAGTAAAAATCCAAATACACTTCTTCTTAGGGATATCGCCGTGTATATTACGAAGATGTTTGTTATATTTGGGACTATTTCCTCTTCATACGATTCAATCGGATTTCCAATTGACGATGAGGCAGTCAGTACAAATGTAAGATCAACAGCAAATTATAAAGCAAATTCTCTCTTAGGTCGACAAATTTAATGCATGTAACTATTTCGTGTACAAGTTTTGTGTTGTCTTTTCTTCGAAGTTTCAATTTTTGTATAACATAAATTAGCCTTTGAAATACAAGTTTGCAACTACAATTTGGTCCAAAGAGCCCGAAATTTGAATAGAAATTGATTGTGTAAATCTCCTCTCGAAATATTTCTTGATAACTTTGAAGAGATTTTTTAATGCATATTCCAAATTTTGCGTTAGTCCTTATCTATTTATTTTGAAACGAGAGATAATTAAATATAAATGTATATAAATATAGATATTTTAAAACGCAATTTTAAATAAAATAATGTAATTATAATGTAGTTATAACATAGTTTTTTTTATATATTCTGTGATCAGGTTGAAGAGACTGTTATGCCGTATCTTGAAATTCTGGCGAATTTCCGGGAGAAAGTCCGAAATTGTGCGAAAACCTTGAAGGCAAACGATATCTTGCAAGAGTGCGATCGATTACGCGATGATATTTTGCCGAACGTTGGTGTGCGGTTGGAAGACGACAATGAAGGGGATTGTAAAGTAAAATTAGTTAACAGGGAAGAGTTGTTGAGGGAAAAAGAAATTAAGAAGAAATTAGAACTTGAGAAAACCTTAGAGAAGAAGAAAAGAAAAGCGGAGGCTGCTGTCGCGGCAGCAGTAAAAGAAGCACAGAAAAGAATATCGCCAAGTGATATGTTCAGATTGGAGAAAGACAAATATTCGCAATTTGATGATAAGGTAAATATTACTCTTGTTGCAATTATTTTATATAGTTATTAATTATTATATCTGAAATTTATATTGCATTGAATTCATATTCTCGTTTTATGTACTTTTTTTAAATATTTCTATGCAGGGATTGCCGACGCACGATGCTGAAGGTAAAGAAATTAGCAAAGGCTTACTCAAGAAGTTGCAAAAGTTACAGCAAGCGCAGGAAAAGAAATATAACGAATATTTAGCTTCCACGCAAAATGGTCACTTATAAGATCCTTACATGTAAGAAATTATCTTGATTTATTTATGAAGTTGTATAATACTTCAATAACTAAATGTCTCTTTCGCATTACAAAGAATAATAATAATTTTCTTTCTTGAAAGTATTGAAGAATATCTAAATTACGTTGATGATCTATATATGATATGTCAATATAATGTCAAATGAGTCTGAATATATATCTAATATTTGAATTAATTGATACGAAACTCTTTCTAAAGCTTTGTTCTAAAAGCTTTGGCTGTAAGAGATTAAATTTAAACGCGATTTCTTATCAGTATCTTTTCTCTATGATTAAGTATTTTTAGTTATTGTCGTTAAACTGTTTAAAATTATTTTGTAATCTATTTATTGTATTGCCTCGAATTAATATAGGAATTCCAATATCGTAATTTATCATTATTAAGGTGAGCCAATTTTATAAGGTTTTGTGTATTTGTAATGCCTATTACAATAAATGTGTGTGACTTCATATTAAGTTTTACTGAATTTATGTGTATATTATTTATACATAAAGTTTATCGTGAGATCAGTAAATATATATATGTATACATATGTATATGTATATATGTATATATATATACGTTCAGCACTTTTAAAAGGAGGACCGGTAAATAATACCAAATTCTGCTTTACGATGGAACCTAAACTAATCTTTAAAAATCCTTCTTTAGGCCTTAATAAATACGAAAATATAATCATCATTTATCCCCAGTCCACACAATTTGTAACTGCTATACAATTTTGGAATAATACTGTATATAACAAATATTTCGTAATATTTATATCACAGCATATTAACCTTACAATACTTGCGTAGCTTTTTTAACGTAATTATTTTTTAGGTATTTCACACTCTAATATTATATCTCAATTTTCATTGTCCTCTTTGAAAATTTACATTTAGTTAAAAAAAGGATAATTAAATAAAGAATATCCTATATATCTTTTAGATAAAAATAAGTTCTTTTTTAAAACAACTTTCGTAAAACAATTTCTGCAGTATTCGATAAAAAAAATTTACTCTGTAACTTTAGTAGACTTCCAAGATTATATTTTACACTTCACACGAATAGAGTTAAATATCAATTGATTTCAAAGATTCGAACGAGGAATAAATAAAATACAGAATGTGGCGCGTGTATATAACATAATGCAAAACTTTCGTGCCACAGATATTAATAAGAAATAGAAAAAATTAATGAGGATGTTACAGCAAAATTAATAGGAATATTATAACAAGGATTAAATAAGTAGATGTATAGCGCGTGTACAACAAAGCTTTTGTTCAATCATTACTTCGCAAGGCCAATCGCTATCGCAGTGTCACATTATTGACTTTCGATTTTTCGGCCCAAAATAATTGAGAAGATGTTCCTCGTAACCATCTGGCATAATCAAATAGCGATGCAGCTGTTAATATGCCGGAACATCGGCGTGTCCAATTAATTATTACGTATAATTATGCGTGAGCGATCGGCCGACGCAAACAAGTCAGGATTATCGAGATCCGAGATCCACGAGTTGAAATCGCGAATTGCGAGAGCGATCTCTGATCTGCAGCGGAATTTCTCTATCGCGTGCGAGGTGCAGGCGCATGTTATTCGCTCGTATTCAGCTTATCTCTGCAAACCCGTTAAACTTCAAAGCGTTAATTAACGAATAATATTTAATTTAGATTTACTTGAGAAACACGAAAGGATCAATAAAGATCGACAATGCAGAAATTCTACCGTGGTTGTTTGCGCATTCGATATTCGGGCGTTCCTTTTAATTTAAAAGTTAAAACGCAGGCCAGGCTAATATTGGCACAAGTGATATTATTCCAGAAAATATATTATTTCGCAAAATACCACCTGCTATCTTGTTGTTAAAACGCACCTTTGGCTTCTGCTACATCATCGATGCACGATTGATTTATGTACAAGGTTGCAAAAGATCAAGCTAATTACAGAGCGATTACTTAAAATAATTTATTAAAATAGATTGAGCTGTTAAGATTCAGTTTGTGAATTTTGCGATTTTTACAACTCCTTATCTCACCTCAAAAATCGTTTCGATAAAAATAATAATTATGATACAATAATTATATCATAAAAATTGTATCATTATTAAACTCGCTAAAACTTTCTGTATATAAACTAACATTTTTACAAAAATTTTTTCGATATTATTAGATATTTAAAAAAAACTTGAAAGTTTACGCATTTTGTCATATGTGATATGAAAAAAAGTTTTGACACTCTGAAGTATATATTAGACAAATACTGACCTGAAAATAATTATGTTAAATCGTGAAAATAATTATATAGACTGTTCAAATGATAATGCTGCAAAAAGTTTTGACATTCTAGCAATTAGTTTGAGTGTCCAATATAATTATTTCGATATAACATAATTATTTCCAGAGCTGTAGCTAGTTAAATTTTTAGATAAATAATTTTTAAATCAATAAAATCGTTCTTTCAATACTGAACCACTTGCGAAATCCGTAGAATCACGTAAATTATCATTCCAGGACATCTCGAGCAATCATCAGACGTCAATCGCGGGAGACGGATCGAGAAATAATGACAATTTATGAGCGACAGTTTCGTCGGGTTTTCCTCGGTTCTGGATTCATCATTTCGTAGATCCCGAACGAAGGATTCGTTGGCGCGGTTTGGGACAGCGTCCCGATATGCGATACCTGGTGCATCCCGGTGTCAATCATAACTCAGGATCCTCGGGATTTCGGGATGCACGGCGCGCTCGAATTTTCCGCTAAAAAAAAATGTACGTGTCCGCGCGAGGACGGAGAAGGATGGGGGTCAAGCCACGCATGGGTGAAGAGTATGTTTGCTTTTTCACACCTCTCTTAACTTCATATTCGATAGCACGTATTTTTTCTTTTTTGTCATGCAACCGTCATGTATTGTTAACGTTTTTGACTCTCGTTTCTTTTTCTTTTTTTTCTATACGCTGCCTGCCAATAACGACGGCAAGAAGAGGAACGAGTCGACGCAATTTTACGGGGCTTATCATCCTCGAAAGTCTAATAAAGACTATTTTAGGGAATTATTTGTACTAAATTATCTTTAGTAAAAAAAATTTGATTTAACTAGATATATGTTCATTAATTTTAAAGTTAACGTTCAAATTTATTTTTATTTATAAATAGTTGATGAAAGGTATAAACTCGAATTTGAAATACCAAAATTAATATCTTTTTTGCTCCGTTAAAGATAGATTTTTACCAAAAAAATTGATAGTTTCCTTTAAATTGGCGTCATTTTATTTTTCACTTCCTCTTTTTCCGCGTTGATTAGCATGAAAAGAATACGTGAGTTATGAACGTTGTTATAATATTAGAGAAACAAATTAAATTTTTTTTATAAGATTCTTATAAATAAGTATAATAATATAATTTTATAATGATAATTTTATTAAGTACAATGATAGAAAATTAAAAAGGAAAAATGGTGCGTTATAAAACTGTCAATATAAAGTTTCGACAAGAAAACTTTGCGATTCTAAGGGAAGGAACTCGGTACAATGCTTCGTTAACGAACGCGCGTGCAATGTCGATGACACAAATATGTAAGCGAACATGACGCGAGATGTATCGCATCATTAAACTTTCTCGATTAAGAACGAAAACGTTTCCGCGGGAGGAGTTTAAATGCCAGCTTCGTTCCAGTCCGGAAACATAATTTTGTAATCGAGAGGGTGGGCAGGCCGGTCGGCGCTTTCCCCGATTATTCCGACGTGTTTTCGGGGGCTTGGGCATCGTTATTATCGGATACGATGCGTATTTTACGGCGAGTTGGAAAAGCGAGTGACGGGTCGACCTGTTCGCCTGCCTCGGGTTTTCACTGCTTTTGAATATGGGATGAATATCGGCTCGCTTCGCGCCGCGAGTCGAGCATTATATCGCCTTCGCATTTACGAAGCTGTCACTGTCGGCCTGACGCCCGCTCGTTATGAAAGGGGTATTATGTTTTAATAATGGACAGCATCGCGCGTCAAATTCATCCGGTCGAATGAAAACGCGTAACATTTATTTTGTTCGACCAGTTTCGAATCGCATCGGCACGATATGCTGATGTATATGCGCGTACATCAAACGTGAATGTGCTGAAGTCTCGCAATATTGAAGAATTTTTTTTTTAATACTGTATATGCGTATATATATAAGTTTTTCTAAGAAAATTATTAAAAATAATTAGATAGCTATTATTGTGAGCCTAAACTCAGGTAGGCTCTTTATCTTCTGCACAATTTAAATTCGAGATTTGATTATCAAGATATAAGTTACCATAAATATTAGTAAAAGTAACGACGTGTGTCGTGGTGCAGAGCTCTATTTGAATGTCAAACGTGAAGTTCTCTATGTCGATAACACGATATCTCAATGACACGTCATATAAAATGGATGAATTATTGAATTAGTGATATATTGCAATACTTCAATTTATCTGAAATATGCGTTCATTGATTCGCCAGTGCATTCCAAGCCCAATTCTGTTTTATTGAGTTTGATTCGGATCGAACTTCACAAATTTATTAAGCCATTATCATTAATAAAATTTTTTTTAATATTATAAAAATAATTTAAATATATGTACAGTACATTATTATAAGGATTAATAATAACATTTTTTGAATTTCATGCGTTTTAAGACTTGGAAATTCGCAAATGTTTATATTATATTTAAATAGTATAATAATATTAAAGTGAGCTATTTATATAATTTGAATATATATAATATATTATATATATTGTAAATATAATATTACACATAACTATATATAATGTTATATTGCTCTAATATAAATATATATAATTAAATTCTAAATGTATTTAGAATTTACATATAAATATTATTAGATTAGATACCAAGATCCAGCTTCGACCATGGAGACGGTTCTCTATTTAATTGTGTTATTTATGTAGTAGCCTAGTTTAATTTATTATTATATATAAACACACACAACATATATATATATATATATAATATTAAATGTGCTTCGTGACAGCGTTTCGCAAAATCGAAATCATTGAAACAATATAAGTGGAAGCGATATCGCGGAGTCACCGAATTTTGGACCGTCGTTGGAAAATTGAGAGGAAACTCTTTCCCCTTTTATTCAATTAGCGGGAGCGCGAGTGACGAGAGCCACGATGATGAATCGCACTCGCCCTTGCAACACGAGCCCGTCCATCGACGCCGTCGTCGCCGGCGCGCTCCTGGATGTCGACGGGAGGCACAGGGTCGACGAACCAGCCAATCGTGCGGGGGCCCGTGCATCTGAATTCTAATGAGGCCCACCTGGGTATATATGGACTCAAGCCCGCGACTTCGTTCGCGCTTTTTCCGAGATATCTCTCCGTCGCGCAGGTGAGTCTTCCTCCTTCTCTTCTGTCCGCTCTTTCTCTCGACTTTTGCGAGATATCCCGTACAGTTCTCTATGGGAACGTCTCTGTGAACGAGCGTGTCTTCGAGCAGTATCTTCGAGTCGTCGGCGAAGATCTCCGTGAACGCGCATGATTTCGAACGAAAACTCCTCGCATAAGAATTGACACGTCCGCGTCGCGACGATAACGAGCGATCGTTTGCTGAATTAGTCAGTGGATCCTATACTCACGAACGTATCGGTAATTTCCATTAAGTTAAACGTCACGGTTACGACGATAGGAAACGATCAATAGAGACGATAAAAAAAATCGAAGCCAGAAAGACAGCTTCGATTTGGTTGCCGGTTTCCTTCCCGCGAGTATCTAAATACCGTGCTATCGGCAATTATAGTTCCTCACAGCTCCGTGACAGCTGATTATTCCAAGGTTGTGCTTGTCTTCTTTGAAGGCAAATTTAACAGCTTCGTGCAATACACGACTACTCAGCGAGACTGCGTAGATAGAGATTTTTCACGGATTTGGATAAATGAATAGCAAGTTGTGAGGAATGTGGTGCGTGCGTGTTTGTGCGTGCGTGCGTGCGTGCGTGCATGCGTGTGTGTGTTCAGTGAAAATGTAAGAATAGGATTCAGTACACAGAAAAAAATGATTAATAACATTTAACAGCGATTTAATTGAAAATAATCTTGTTCTTTAATTTAATTGAAAATATTCTTAATTCTTAATACACGATGATTTTACTACACACGATAGATTGTTCGTGTCTGGATTAATTTTCATTACTTTTATACAAGTATATAAAGCCCAGTTAGCAAGGAGACATTATTTGTCATCACTTTGATACCAAAATGATATCTTCGATGGCATTTTGACATCAAAATAATGACAAATGTTAGCTTATTACCTGGAAAATTATTAAGTGATTTTTACACGTTCCGTATAGTACAATACCTCCAATCTCTAAGGAACGTTCTAAGATGTCCAAAAGGCATTCTGCCTCCCAAGATTGTTCCCAAAATGTGCTTCGTGCTGTGTGGGATATTTTACGTCTTTAGAAAGTATTTTTAATTGATAGTGTATTAAAAAAATTATATACAAATAATTATAACTAATTATAGTCGACACGAATGATTCGATCATGTGTATTAATAGTTGATTTTAATCTACATTTCGATTAATTTTTGTATGTAGAACCTTCTTTCTGTTTGTGCTTTCAATTCTAAGACTGTGTAGGTTTCTTGATGTTTCGGTGAAAAAAAATACTAACAAGTTAACAAAAAATACTAATAAATTACGGCAAAAAAAAATAAATCGCGATAGTTCAGCGACATTATGAAATGGAACATCCGTATATAATTCAGTGGAGCTATTTATCTACTTTCTACTACTACTTTCATTTAAAAATAAAACTTATTTTTTAATCAATAATTTTTACGCGACATTTTCCTGCAATCTGATGTGCCGATCTCACATTTATGGCAGACACATTTCTCTCATTTAGAGATACAGAAAGATATATGTCTCTTTCCCGCCCATTTTATAAGGGAATATCCATTTTGTGCCGTACACTTTTATGCATGATTACACGGTCTCGTGCGAGTTTATACACATCGGACATTAAGAAACGATTTGGCCTCGCATTTGTCATTTCGGTCGTCTCTTGCCATTAAAGTTCCGCGGATCCCGTTCGCGATAACGGCTTCGTGAGCGATATTGTAAAAACCGTCAGCGCCGACGGTGCCCACGCTCGAACCTGGTTATAGAATCTCGTCGGGATCGTCGACACGGGATCGTTTACTCCGAGCGTCCACTCTTCGTTCTCTCGCGTTTCTTTAATTATTATATTTCTCTCTCTTTCACCTTTGTCGAGATTGAAATGAAGGTCAACACCTTATGTCGCACCTACGTGCCGAAACGCTCGTGCGATGCCAATGACTCGCGAAATTTTCGAGCTTCCCTTTGTCATTTTCATCGTTTTCGTCTCGTTTTTTTTGCGTCGGTCATTCGTTGAGGTTCACTCGATCGTTATCGATCGCTCTCATGTGGATTGATAATACTTAAATTTTTGCAACGTTTTGTCAAATCGTACCGCGTTGCAATTTCTAGTGCAGTGCAGGTCTTTGTCATCGGGAACGGCACTGCTTTTATTTGATTTTATCTTCATTTATTTGTTCGCTTTTTATTTATTTTTACACTGATATTTTGAATATTTTTATTACGGGCCTTTCGCGAGGCATGGTAGGCGGAATTCCTTTACTTCCTTTTCGACGGCCGAAACGAAGGTCAGACCGGAGGTGTGCCCACGTAAAAAGGCACGGGGCTCATCCTCGGCGCGGGCCCATATTACCATACCAAAACGAAAAATCTGAGATTCTCGTATGCGAATCACCGTTAGTGATCGGCGAGCAGAGAGCCGCATGATAGATGTCGAATAACAAAACATCAATTAACATCGTCCAGCCGGATCAAACCGTTACCTCGCCACCGGTAAAGCGAGCAACGCGATATCGCCGGCACGCGAGGATACTTCTAACGACGTCTCTATGAGGCTGCTGTAAAGCGCGTAGCATCATCCCACCATATACGCGCGATTACTCGAATACAAATGTTACCCGCGTCTTTGTTCACCGTTCTTTTCACGCATCGACCGCGCTCGGTGCAAATCGATACTGAAGACATTCATTCGGAAAACAATATATATGCACCAGTCAAAAATTTGAGATTTATTATTTGAAATGTCTATCATATGATAAAATTAAATTAAATTATATGTTACAATTTAACATGAATCATCTTAAATTTTAACATCTTAAATTTTATATTTTTTGCTATGTTTTGAAAACACAAATATTAATTTATTTTTATATTAATATTGAGTAATATTACATGCAAAACACACACATATATGCAACCTTTATTCTTATAATTAGAATATTTCTTTATAAGTATTTTCAATCAGGAGAGTATTTCAACCATTGATGCTTGACAAAACTAACACTTTATATTTTAGGGATTTTACAAAAGAAAAACTGAAAGTTGGTAATTTTTAAATTATCGATAAAAAACCGATTGAAAAGGCCACTTGATAGCTAACGGAATTGGATGATTTCAAACGCGATCTTTGAGATCGGTCGGGCACCAGTCCCGAGTTTGTAGTTGAACGAGACAAAGGCGTTTTATCAGTACGACATACGTCCGTGAAACTCGTTTGTCGACTCGACCGGCGTTTGTATTCAAAGTGTAACGAGCGGAACAGCAGCCCCGCACGAGAGAATCGGCTGCGCATCGCGCATCTTAATTCGCGGGCGAGGATCCTGGGCGGTTGTCGCGGTCGCGAGAGCTTCCCGCCGCCGTGGAGCGTTTTTTGTTTCGTTCATTTATTTTTAATCACTGCCGCGACATTACCCGGGCATCTTTATCCCGGCACGCGGTGACCGTAGAATCCGAAGGACGGTCTTTGATTTCTCCCGAGAGGCGCAGCTTTCCCCCATCGCCGAATTCGGATCGTTATTCGGCGCCGGTCCCGTCCCAGGGAAAGGGAGAGGAGAGGTGGTGAGGAGCAAGTTCGACGAAGAATTTTATAACTTCAAAACATCGTTTTCCCTTCTGTCGTCTCGCTCGTCTCGATCGTGGTCTCGCTATCGTTAATTTCTACCTATCGCGTTCGTGGCAGACTCGCAACACCGGTATTCGTGGCTGCCCGTCGAACGCCGATTTTATTCTTTGAAGTAAAATCCATACACAACTCTCGGTGCATTTTACATAATTATTTGGAAGGCTGTACGAGTTGATGAAACGCGCGAGCGAATGCCGCGTCCGCCGCCTGTAACTTCCGGTTGCTTTTCTTGCCGCGGGAACGAAACGGCCGCGAGCGCGCTTGCTCAATTTTACGCAGGGATAAACCGAGGGTTTCCCCGGAGTACATTTTATAATGCCGCAAAACTTTATTGTACCGGCCGTAATTCTGTTTCCTCCATGTCGTGTGAAGATTGCATCAGGAAATCTTTGAGACGATGTCCGGAGCAATTTTTTGGTTCTTTCCTTCGATCCCGTGATACGTACCGAGTACACATGAAGGCGATCGTGATTTTGTATCATGATTCGCGATCTCGTTTATAGAACATTCGCTTTCAAAACACAATTGGAAAATTTATGTTGGATTTTACATTTTACATGCCCTAAACGATTCACTCAAATTTTCTTGTGTTAATTTTACTTGTAAAATTGTGACGTGATAGAGCAATTCTATAATCAAATTCAAATTTAGCGTTCAAAAAACTACGGGAAATGACTAGTCTTGTTGTATGGTGTGTTTTTTTAACTGTGTTATCATAGTTGTTTTTCCTTCTCGTCATTTATTTATTTCTCTCGATAACAAGTTATCTAACAATAAAATAAAGCGTATATCTTATTATTATTAGTCAAATACAACATTATCAAAGTCGAAAAGTGTACTTTTTTCTAGTACCATAGAAAGGGGAAATAACAGAAAAAAGAATATCATAAAATGATAAATGATAAATGATAAATAATAAACTATTAATATAAATAGATACATGCATATGCGTATGACTGCGTAGTATTTTAAATCGTACAATTGAATATCGCAACTCGTGATTTATCAAAAAAAGCTTGCGTGGTATTCTCTATTATTCTCAAAAACCGTATTCTGATAACTCCAATTCTATTTGATACTTGATTGAAAATCTGGTTGTGCAGCGACGAAACTGTGATTCAACGCGAATTAAAAATTAAATAAAATAAGCTAATGTTGTAGAGTCAACCAATCTCTTGGTTCCGAATTCGGCCAATTTGGTTTCATATATCTTCTTTAATCCGAGTTTCGCGTATTAATAGTTATATATTATAGAATAATCCAATTATACGGGACTCGCGTGTAACCGTTATCCGTTATTCTCTTAATTCAAAGAACGAATCGATGGGTTCGCTCTGACTGGGGCAGTTGAATATATAATCAGCTATTAACAGTTAGATATCATTAACGTCTGTCTATCGATTAAAACATCGACTGTAACATGTTATAATGGTCGCGCGATTGGAGAATATATATTTGTAATAGCAGAATAGAACGTGCCACAGTACGATCGATTCCCGTATTAAATTAATTTAATCGTAACCGTTTATAAAAGCTTATACCCGGATTTTATATCGCGAATTGATAAATCAAGACAATTTTCGGGTAATTCGCACTAAAAATACATTATATATAATGCTCGCTAAATTCCAAGCTCTCGGAAATAATCAAAAGTAATTATTACAATTAATAATTCTTTCCTTTTTATTATGTTAAAAGGATTTTCATTTTTTATGGGTGCGTTCATATAACGATGAATCTTTGGTTTCGCGATCGAGATCGCGGGAAGACGATCCCGGCGGATGAAGATACATTTTTTAGTCGTCTGTTCATGCACGGATGAGCGTCATTACCGCGCGGTACACACAGCCGCGCGAAGGTTTCTACGACGGTGTCAACGTTCATCGGAGAACCGGTCGTTCATAGATCATTCCCCTCGGGCACTTCGAAAATAAATCGATCGGTTTACGCTCCAAGAAGCTTCCGCGAAGCGCTCGGCCGATCGGCCGCGATGCAGAAGCGCGTCGAGTGTTGAGTAAATCGCACGGGGTCCTGAACACGCCTTAGAATAAAAGTATAGAGCTCTCTTACGTTTTGTTATAATAAAGAAATTGGCTGTGTGTACATATATATTTACGCACATTAATGTAACATCGTCAGCATATTCGCTGAAAGCTATATGTACGAAAAAAGTAAAAAAAAAAAATGAAAAATTTTCAGAAGCAGTTTAAGACAGTCTACACGAAGTGTCGTTATTATAGCCATCTTTTTTTATTTTATGATTGTTTAATTAATATTAATTTTGTTAATTCTCTTTCTAATTGCAGATTCCAAAATGACTCAAATGGGAAAGCTATTGTTTTCCCTGCCCTTGTTCCTGGCGCTCCTGGCGTACGGAGCAGCTGGTGAGTTTTATTTTCAATAATAAGATAAAATTAAGATATGAAAAATCAATTTGCGTTATTATAAAATATCGTGTTAAACTTGAAATCTTTTATGGCAGATTTTCATTTGCATTGCACCTTATTTTTCTGTTTTTATTTCTATAATTCTTTTTTATTGTAATAATTTTGAAGAAACAAAGTTGTGATAGGAAAAGCGTTGATAATAAATTAAAAATTAATCGTTATATTACGAATAATTTAATAACAATTAAAATTAATGGTTTATAATTTAATAATAATAGTAATAATAATGGTTTACGCGGCGCATTAATGATATATATATATATATATTTTATAATGATTTAATGGTACATATATTTTTTAGAGGCTCCAAGATTGGTCTGTTACTTCAGCAACTGGGCTATCTACCGTCCGGATGTAGGCAGCTACGGCATTGACGACGTTCCCGCTGATCTGTGCACGCACGTGATTTACTCCTTCATCGGCGTGAGCAACGTCACATGGGGAGTACTCATTCTCGACGAGGAGCTCGACGTTCAGAAAGGCGGCTTCAGCAAGTTTGTCGCTCTGAAGGAGAAACATCCGCATCTGAAGACCCAGGTTGCGATCGGCGGCTGGGGCGAGGGTGGTAGAAAGTACAGCCAAATGGTTAGCGTGAAATCCAGACGTGACTCGCTGGTCAGCAGCGTCGTCGGTGAGCATACAGTTCGAAAATGACGATTCGTTCATGAAATTATTGAAGAAAGAAATGCCATATTCATTGCAAAATTTAAGAATCTTACGGAATTATATAGATAGATTAAACGTCGATGCGTAGAAACCACGGAAAGTTTTGTCTATGTCTTTTATTTATTTATGTCTAATATATTAAATCGAAAAAACTCCACACAAGCTTCACACTCATCTCTCTCGGGAATATGGATCGGGCGATTTGAATTGGAAGGGTTTTAATAAAATGTCCGATTTCTCACTGGCAGATTTTATGAACAAATATAAGTTCGACGGCTTCGATCTTGATTGGGAATATCCGGCTGCTACCGACCGAGGTGGCACCTTCAGCGACAAGAACAACTTCTTCTACTTCGTCGAGGAGCTGAGAACCGCGTTCGACAAGGCTGGCAAAGGCTGGGAGATTACGATGGCGGTGCCGATGGCCACGTTCCGTCTCAACGAGGGATATCACGTGCCAGAATTATGCGAGTGAGTTCCACTTTGCTGTAAAATTATTATTATGTAAATTAATATTTATACGTGAACAAAATACGTATAATATATGACACAGTAGACGAGGTTTATATTTTTTAAATTATTATTTTAATAATTGCAGACTTCTCGATGCCATCCACGTGATGTCTTATGATCTCCGTGGCAATTGGGGAGGATTTGCTGACGTTCATAGCCCGCTCTACAGGAGGCCTCACGATCAGTATGCCTACGAGAAATTGAACGTGGTATACTTTCTGTTTTTTCCATTATTTATTAATTTTCCTTTATTTATCCGTATTTTTTTTTGTCAAATAAAACAGCGCATTTGCGAACCTACATCCTTACGGATAATCGATTTACGTTAATAAAAGTTACATTCGATGTACTCGAGCATCATTATGTTAACTGAATGAAACAGAATCAGCCCGATTATCTTCAAAATTTTCTATCGCGAGCGCAAGTGTACCGGTCGATATCGATATATAAGATTATCACCGTCATTTCAGCACGACGGTCTTCAACTCTGGGAGGACAAAGGCTGTCCCGCCAACAAGCTCGTCGTAGGAATCCCGTTGTACGGACGTACCTTCACCCTCAGCCAGGGCAACAACAACTTCAAGCCCGGCACTTACATCAACAAGGAAGCCGGTGGTGGCGATGCCGGCAAATACACCGGGGCTAAAGGATTCTTATCTTACTACGAGGTAAGCAATCGATCCGCGGACGGCTAAAACCGGCGGAAGCCGAGTGAACATCAGCGGGCGTATTCGTCACGTCAAAATTATTCTTTCTTTCCTGCAGATCTGTATGGAACTTAAAAAGCCGGACCAAAACGGATGGACCAAGGACTACGATGACGTGGGCAAAGTACCCTATATGTACAAGGGTGAGTTCAATTTTTGTAGAAACATTAGGGGAATACAATTTCTTGCGATACTGCAAAATGACTTGTGACTGGTCTCGAAAATCCGATAAACAAAAAAAAGGTGGAAAATTGATTTACAAATATTATTTGCAGAGTGACTAGTCGCCTGAAAAATATTTGTCGATAATTCGATTTCTTTGTTAAATGAAAATATTGTTTTAATCGCATTTATCTTTTAGAAACATTAATTATATTTTGAACGATCAAATAAATATTTAAAGTTAAATATTTTGTTTTGATTTAAAATGTAGGATGGTCAGAAGGGATTTTCGCCAAATAAAGAGGCGAATTTTCGATCTAAGGTGTTTTTATTCTTAGTGTGCTAAGAATATAAAGAATTGTTTGGTGTGCTTCGTCCGCGACTTATTAATGACTGACTCTTGACGAATCTAACAAACGCTGTTACTTTTTGTCATTTGATTCTCATCAGGTTAATTAATTTTTCATGTATACAAGATGAGTTTGCAATAATTTGAATTAATAGCAAGTCTTGATCGGTAGGAGGGAAAAGTCCTCAATGGGTTGGTTATGAGGACGCCGACAGTATCGTTCACAAGATGAAGTTCCTCAAGGAGAAGAAATATCTCGGTGCCATGGTCTGGGCCGTCGACATGGACGACTTCAGAGGACTCTGCGGTCCAGTGAATCCTCTCATGAACGCAATCTACGACGGTCTGAAGGGTTATACAGTAACACCTACGGATTACAAGACAACTCCTAGAGTAAGTCAGCTAATACGAGACTCCGATTAATTTAATCTCCGATTAATCCAACCAGTAGGCAGAAATGCCTACAGCAAAAATTTTAATTACAATAATTGTCTTTGATCTCTCTAATTTCTCTTTGTCTGTTAAATAACAAAGTCAATAATCATGTTAATAAAATACTAGATATCATTTGATAAGATAATCGCTAATTGTCGGTTTAATTGAGTTTAACTGAAATCATTTTATATGTTCTATATGTAAATAGAGCGTATAGGTATCCAAATGCCGATTGTCTTGTTAGTACAGGAGTGAAAATATAATAATAATCGCGATTTGTTTATCAGCCCGAATGGGACAGGCCACCTAGCACTACACCTTCGACAGGTGAGAAACCGAAACCCACACCCAAACCCACCTCGAACCCCGAGGTGACAACCGAAGTACCTCGTCCTACGCAGACTACGTCGAAGCCAGTCGATGAAAATGAAGTTAAGTGCGACGGCAACAATAATATGATCCCCAGCAAGGACTGCTCAGCGGTACGTTCGCGTGTATACAAAAGTATATCTTTAAATCCGATCTACATTTCAATAATGATTATTTCGAGATTTACGAGTACCTCTCGAGTTTGAGATTTTCGATTTTCCTGAGTGCGAAAATTTACATTCTCGCGATTCGAAGCTTATGTCGTCATGAGATTCAAAATCTTTTTTTTTAACGCAATTCTAAACTGCGCTTTTTAAAATCTGTTTTAAATCAAATTTGCAAATGTATATCTGTTACATAATAATGCGTATTCTTTTACAGTACTTCCGCTGCGTCCACGGCAAACCGATCAAGACACAGTGTCCGGCCGGTTTGATCTTCCAAAGTACCAAGCTTATTTGCGATTGGCCAGCCAACGCCGATCGCGAGGAATGCAGAAAAGTCTAATCGTCGGTGTGACTTGGTTCTACTAATGTCAACCGTCCAGCATTTCATCGATTCATACATCTCTCAGGTATACGAGGGAATTAATTGCGATAATTTCATATAACAGAGAACATTTGTTACGTGTTATTATTTGTTGTTGTGTGCGAGAACGTGTGCGATGCGAATATCGCAAGCCACAATAAATCATACGCAGTTTATCAAAAGTCTGAGAATTCTGTTAAATGCAATTTTCTATCCTTTATGATCCTTTCTTTTTTACATTGTTTAACTTATACAACTGTTATTTAATAAATTTTAATACACACATTCACACACAAAAACGCGCGCGTGTAGTGTGTATGCGCTGAGAGAGAGAGGGGGAGAGAGAGAGAGAGAAAGAACGAGAAATTCTTACAAACAACTTTAATTACTATTACTTTTTCCTAATTAAATTACATGAAAAGAATGATTTTGTTGAAGTATATAAAAATTTAGCTAAATACAGATCTGAAAACAATTTTATTGGATCACCAAAATAATTTTATAGAACATTTAAGCATAATGATAATATTGCAAAAGTTTTTAATACTTTAGCGATCAATTTAAACGTTCTACAAAATTATTTTTACTGTCAAATCTGTACCTGGTCAAATTTTAAATACTTCAGTAAAACTATTTTTTCCGCGCGCGCACGTGTGTTGAAAAAAATATTAGTATATCCATAACACAAATTCTTATTTAAAAAAACATATATTTTATATATTTTTACAAAATATATAAAATAAAACGTATAAGACAGATTGCGTATAAGAATAGTTTTGACAGTTTTGGGTTAAGTCTTTTTAAGAAGAAAATAAGTCGACAAACAATTAAAAAATACTCTGTAAAATATCTCCTAAAATTCAATACTTCTGCGCGTTAAAACAGCTCCTTTAGATATGCATAATTCATTTACACATACATATTTTAAAATATATATTTTAACGTATAAAATGGAATAATCATTATATAATTATTATATGCCAAGAATAGCTTATAGAATATGAGTGCAAAATAACTTACCAAGAAATTCTTAACGAACAGTCACCAAGTCGTGAATGTAATCGCAGATTCGCTCTCCTGTGTCGCGCGACATCGTTTCCTCTTTTCCACCGTTATATTGGCGGCGCAACGTGTACAAAAAAAAGAAATGGAAAAAAACGCGATTTGACGTTAACAATGCGTGACGGTTGGTGCAAAAAATATGCTTTCGAATATGAAGTCAAGAGTGGTGAAAAAGCAAACAGAACTCTCTTCCCGCTCTCTCTCTCTCTCTCTCTCTCTCTCTCTTTCTCTCCTAATCTGCCCTACCAAAACGTTCTCCATTCGCGCGAATGGTCCTCGCGTGAATGAATACGTAAATTTTTAGCGGAAAAATCGTATGTATGTTCCGAGCGCGACACCCCAAAGTCCAAAGATCCCTGGAGCCTTGATTGACACCTGAATGTTCTCGTATGCATATAGAGCCACCCTCTGCCGCGCGATCTCTCTCGCTCTCTCTTTCTCTTTCTTTCCTTCTTTTTTTTCATCTCCCAAACCTCTCGTCCACATTCCCTCCTTCTTCCACATTCTGTTACATCGCTTTTATCCGGAAGCGGAACTTGATGGCTGTTATAATTTAACGAGCACGTTTCTTTCTCCTGTTACCGCGGCATTTGCAAGAATGAACACCGGCAAAGCGCATGCACGTTCCTTTCTTTCTCTTCTCTCATGCCGCGGTAAGACGATTCCTTCTCATTTCACGACAATCATCGCGTTTTTTTTTTTTTTTTTTTTGATCGAATAATGCCGTGAAAACGAAGGCAAAAAAAAGAGTGAGAAAGTCGAACGCGCGAACGAAATCGATGACGCGTTTCATGTGTCGGAGGGTGAACGGCGCAACGGTTTCCAAAAATTAGAATAGCACTCGGTAAAATGTAATTCTAACGATAGAGATTGGTTCAGAGAGAGGTTCGGTCTTGGCGCTTTTCTCGTGACAGTTATTTCCGAATGTTTCCCTTGTCCTTGATTCTGTCATATTTTGACGTAGAGTTCATAAAGGATCCATACGGGATACAAAATTAACAAGATCCTAAAAAAAATCTCTCTAAATATTGTATATACCGTAATTTCAATTCAAAAGACACAACTTAAACAAATTAAACTTTTTAATTGTATATTAAGTTATTTAATAGGATAATGATGATCTTAACTCGTTTATGGTTCATACTCGAAAATCACTTTTTTAATTGTAACACTTTTAAAATAAGGATTATGATAAAAGATTACGATATATTTAAAAAGAAAAAGAATGTTAAGCGCTGAAGAAAAAATTGTCATCGGAATTAAAATTATATTCGACAATGCAGCAGGTATTTGCTCGTAATTTTTAGAATTTTACACTTAAACTCTTTTAAGCATTTTTATAATTACTTCAATATATAAAATATGATATTAATTATACCATTAATCTAAAAATAAGATGCGCGCGCGTGCCGACGCAGTGCCACCAGAACGACATATAAATAATGCATTGTTGCTCGTGTTTCGGGGCTGGGCTGGCGACCCCGCGTCTAATTTTTTTTTTTTGCGACCCGAGACACGAGGGGACATAAGGGAGAGGCGGCGAAAGGCCACGGAACCCACTTTTATAACTCCATTGACAATTTTTCGGTTACCCTCTTCACTATTTTCGATCCGCACGCACATTCGGCCGTACACTCCTCCCGTTTGATTTATCTTTCAATGCAGTGAAGAGATTCTCGCCGTTTTTCCAGTAAATAATTTTAGCCGCTGTAGCACGTGCAATAAGTCAACAAGTCTATTGGGTATCGATCAATCGCGTAACAATTACTTCACATGATTTGCGTCACGACAGTGCGTAATTTTATTTATTTAAGACAGCTTTTTATAAAAAGAGCTATGCATATACATATTTTAAATAAAATTATGCACTGTTAGCCTTTTTTTTTAATTAAAAGCTGTATACATATCACTGCGTTGACAGAAAAATGAAAATGACACAAGTAAGAAAGTAGCATTTGTTTTTTAAATAATTTAAATAAAGGAAATTGACTTTGAAAAAGACTAACATATTTTTATGGAAAAACGAAACGTTTGTAGCTCATTTGTTTATACGAAAATATGTCACAATTATGCAACGTCTCATCCGGATGGATACATGTAGTAGCGTTCCGCTATCCTCAATAAGCTCATTTAAAGCCTATGAAAATCAAAAGAGGGCGCCACTTTTCCACACTCCGTGCGTGGGCCCGTGGCGGCCGTGGCGCGCATGTGCACTGGACTTCATAGTTCATTCCTGTTGTTGTGTGAATCCTCACATCGCTCCCTTTGCGGTTCGTCGTTTGAGTTAATTATTCAATATTCCAGTATGGGCAAATCTGCTCATAAATCCGCTCTAGAAGAAGGAAGAGGTCTCACTCCTCCAACCGTCTTGCAGACTTGGAGATTAAGATGTCCCGTTTATAGATATTTTAGTCTATAAAGAGGTTGGAATGTCTGGTAATTATCCTTCTCAGCCATTGTTGACATTTCTCCTTCATATTATCTTCTCCTGCATATTATCATGGCGACCAAGGGTCACGTAACGAGTCAGATTCTATTGTCCGCAGATCTGTACTCTCCGTTATTTCCCTGTTGAGGATAGCGCAGCGGAACGTTACTACATCCGGACGAGACAGCATAATTGTAATCGAACTTCACGGTAAGTGAAGTTTAATTGTTCAATTTTGACAAGGAATAAAATTTACATTATACTATGATTGCAGTATTCGAATTTTAAAAACTCGCGACATGATTTTATACGTTATATGGAAATATTCATTCACAATGTCAAGAGACAGTGTATAATTTTATTTATTTGAGATATGTTTAGCGTTTAATAAAAAAAAGTTACACATATTTAAAATATATAAAGTTATGTGCATTGTTACATTTTTTAAATTAAAAGTTAAATATATCACTGCGCTGATAGAAAACTAATACAAGTAAAAAAATTCACATTTTTTAGATAATCAATGAGGTCCCTAAAGACTAATATATTTTGCGAAAAAAAAAGATACATTTATTTTAGTTATTTAAATTCAAGTTTTTAAATTCAAGATTTTAAAAATTCCTTTAAAAAACTGCTAATTTTGAGATATGTCACTTTTCTATCAACACCACGATGTATCTTAAATAAATAAAAAATAATGCACTGTCACATGATACAAATCGTGAAGCAATTGTTAAGTGATTTATCGATAACCGATAGACTTATTGATAATGGCTGTATGTTACGGTAACTTGTTGATGCATAATGGATATATGTTACTATAAAGCTGACATATACGATCGTAGAAAATGCTTCAGAAAAGATAAATCAATATATATTTATGTATAAAATGTATCGCGAGCAGAAAACTTCCAAATAGAACAAGAAATAAAAGCAAAAAGGTGTAAGAGCGACAAAAAGTACGAGCGTGTATGCAGGTAATCTGGTAGCGTCGCCGTTCTTCTGCAAGTAGATATGGTATATCAAGACAATTGCCTCGCAATAAAAGCACACAAACAGATTATTCGCACAAACAGACGCGAGATTAGGCATGCGCTTTATGCTCTTGCTACAAAAACAAATGCCCTCGCTTCTACCCTCCGCGGTTCGTCTTATTTTTATTCGCGTGACGCATTGTGCAGAAGCGAGCCACTCACCGCCGCGTATACACGTAATTTCGACGAGCAAAAACGCCTATCGCTTTGCCCCCTCCTCCCCGACCAGCGCCAGCCCGGCTCGACATGATCCGATTCCGCCCCGCGCCCGTGTAATCGTGCCCTTTTATGCTAATCGGCAACCCTTCCGCGTTTAACCAGCTGCGCCACCGTCATTGTCTCGGCTTTCTCTCTCTCTCGATGAAAACTTTTTCTTGCCGCTTCCACGCGAGCTCGTTTCTCGCCGCGGAAAACGCACGCGACCGTCTCCTCCCCTTCACCCCGATGCCTCGCCACCCGGTGATCGCTTTTTTTTTCACCGTCAACGGCGGTCGGAGAGAAGAAGAAAAAAAAGGGTTGCGCACCCCCCCGAGGGACGCGCGCGTGTGGGGTGGCGTCGCGCGGGGTGAACGAGAGTCGGGATGACGAGAGAGGGGCTTATTAATGAAATGATATGCGCGCGGTGCCCATGCGGTCGGAAATCCACGTAACGCGCTTT